AGGGTGCAGTGAGGCAAAATGCTGCGCAGTAATTTTTTTTAATCACGACTTTCTCTCAATTTTTGTATGCTCCTTCCTAATACATCATGTACCTCTTATTTTTTTGTATGCTCCTTATGGATATATCATGTACCTCTTATTTTCAAATGATTGGTGGGTATTATTTGGTGGTGATACACCGAGCTGCTTTGCCATTCGTATTGTTTCAAGTGGTGTCTCATCTAGTGGGTGTGAGCGGAATTGGAGTACTTTTGCACTAGTTCATACAAAACTCGAGAAACCGCCTTTGGTTATGAGAAGTCTGCAAAGCTTGTGTATGTACGCCACAATTTAAAGCAACGTCTCAAGCAAGGTGTAGGAAAAAATCAAATGTAAGAGAGAGAGGCTCTCTGTTGATGGATTGCACATTATTTGATGAATCAAACCCAATCATGGATTGGTTGAACAGCCAAAAATTGTAGATGATGATCTTTGTCTTGAAGAATTGCTTGGTCGGTCAAAGAAGAGGAAAATTCTTGCTTTACTGAGGGCTAATAGGAGGAGAAAAGGTAAGAGGGTTGTTGAAGATGAAGAAGAAGATTTTGTAGAAACCGAAAACGACACATGTGATAGCAGTCCTCATGGCAGCCCCGCTTGCAGAATCTGGCGATAGTAGCTCAAATAATGACACGTACAATGAACCGTAGCATAGGGATGGTAATTACTCATGTGTGAATTTATTTTTTTTTTTTTGACCAAAGACAAAGAGGCTAACGTGTTTAATTATTTCAATAGGTGATACTGGGCACACACCAACAATTTGAAGAGCAACCTTAATCAAGGGGACAGCGTAGGAAGAAGAAGAGGAGTCGAAGGATTTCTCTATTAGCTATGTGGTCTTTGTCTTTAGATTTTAAGTATGGGCTGTCTCTGAATTTGAACTATGGACTTTTGATCTCTTTCGCACCCCCTTTATGAACTATTATGGACTTATCACTTATCTATGTTCCCGCTTATGACTATGAAACTATGAACTGGACATGTATGTTCTCAGGCTCATTGTATGAACTTGTACGTGTTATGCCCTCCTGTGGACTGTGGAATATTGTATTTGTGGATCTCTTCTCTATTTCTAACTTAAAAGCATTTTTTCTATTTCTCTAGAATAAATTTCGCCTCAAATTTCAATCCAAAATTTCGTCCGATTTTTTTTAAAAATTCGTGATTTCGCCAAAATACACCCTAAGTTTGAACGTGCAGGTTTACACGAAATTTTCAAATTTCGGTTTAAAATTCAGCAATTTCGGTTTTTTGCCCCGCCGAAAAAACACAAAACGAAATCCAAAACCTTGATTGTGGCTACTAGTATTAATATTAATAATTTGAATAAAAATGTTAATAGTTTGATAGGCTATAAGTTCTAAAAAATAAAGATTACTTCATTGTATTAGATCAGGTAAGTAGATTCCTCCTCTACCTCCACCAGCAGCACTAGAATTTCACCCAGGATATATGCCCTTCTAGTCTTTTATTGAATGATCGTTGTTCTCATATCCTTCCAATAGTAAGGAATCTTATATCCCTCAATTTATGTTTTTTAGACTTTGTTACAAAATCATTTCTAACATTATTTTGAAATCTATCGTAGATAACTGAACCGATCAGATGGCTCGAAGATTCACTATGGTTCCTTAGAGTTGAGTCGATCAATGATGTGACAAATGTATCATGTAATAGACAGTTACGACGATGTCATATTGATTTCAAAATTGGTGGTGTGCAGATTTCAATTATGAGGAACAACGCATCGAATCAGACCGCCGCTGAGAAACATGCTATGAAAGCTTGTTTAAAGTTTCTTGAGGACAATGGATACTCGTTGATACTATGTGCCTGACTTCTCAACCTTCTGATGACATACTTTACATCTGGGCAATCTAGATGTGGCCTTAGAAAGTGAAAGGATTACTCGGCTCAACCAAATTGATGTAGTACAGTCAAAGTGGTTCGTTTCTCATATTCTATTTGTTGACACTATTTATAAATTCTAGGTAATGATTTTACCTATGCTGCTTATAGCTTTCAGACAATTCTACAAAGCCTTGGAACAACTTGGGTACTACTGGTACCAGGGGCGAACTCACAGGATATGCTAGGTGGCCCACAACAATACAAACTTACAAGCGATGACTAATAAAATGTTAGAGCATCTCCAATAGTTTCCAAAATAATAATTAGCAAATCAAGAGTTTTTCAAGTGTCTAAAAATGTTGGGAGCATATTTGTTGGGTTCCTCCAACGGTTTTCAAAATCTCACTCCTAAAATATAAAAGAAAATTTTGTATTAGGAATCCCAAACTATTTATAAATCATCCTAACTACTTTTATATTTTCTTTCTCTGTTGTACATTTGCATTGAGAATCCTATCATACTATTTATTCTTTCTACGTTCTTTCACCTGGCGCACGGATATTTCCCTGCGATTGGATTGTTTTCCCAAGTGCGGAAAGATTGGGAGTTGATGGAGAGCAGTTTTTCAATCTTGCCAAAAAAATTCTAGAGTGGAGTGGGTTTTGGAAACTCTTGGAGATGCTCCGACGATAGTATAGTGGTATGCTATTTCATTATTCCCTTCGTTTCAAATTATAAGTCGTTTAGACTTTTTTGTATATGAATTTTTTGTTATGTATCTAGACATATGTTATATCTAGATACATAGCAAAATTGATATACTAAAAAAATTCAAAGCGATATAAAAAAACAAAGTCAAAGCGACTTATAATTTGAAATGGAGGGAGTACTAACTATAAGATAGTTCTATTCCTCCTTAACTCTGAATTTATTTTTTATCTTCCAATTTTTAATCCTCTCTTTATTGTATCCCGTGAGATCTCCTCACCTTATTTTCCAACCTTTTTCCCCCTCTGTTGTCTCCCGTGAGATCTCTTCACCTGTGTTCTAGTTTTCACTTTCCAATTATTTATCTCCTCTGAAGGTTAATAACTATACTTTATCATTTTTTCTACTTTTATCCTCTCTTATTGTATTATCAGATGAGTCATAGCAAATTTTATATACCAAAAAATTCAAAACAACTTATAATTTAGAATGGAGAGAGTACTTATTTGATATCATAAACATTAATATTTATATCTATATTTTTTTAGATAATGGAACAAAGTCTAAACTAAAAAGATATAGATACAAATATTTGTATCTCTATATTTAGTCAAAACATTAGACACTTTAAAAAACGAGGCAGATAACGCGCGACCTGCCCGCGCGGCACCGCTTGACCGGACCCACTGTATGCGCTGGACCGGAGTCTCTCCCCTCCCCTGCGTGCAACCGTCGCTATCCGTGTGAGGTCATCCTGACACATCCTAGCAAAAAAGTAAAATATTATTTTAAATTGTTATAACTCTTGAACGGATTATCTATTTTTAATTTTGACTGTACCGTGTGTTTTACGTGGTGAGACGAACAAAACTAGACCTCACTTGCATATGTTTTAAAGAATTTTATTCTAGTAGCAATTTATGTGTAAACATATGCTAGGAGATTATTAAGAGTTGCTACCATGTAATACTAAAGTTGCTATTGCAAAAATATACTAAACTTGTTACATAGTATACACATAGGTTGTTTTATGAAATAAAATAAAATTGTTACAAGGTACTGCATAAAACTGCTAACTGGGTAGGAAGAATTATGCAACCCAATGCAGGAGCCGAGAAACATGACCAGCTACCAACTTAAGGGTATTTATTTAGAGAGTAGTGGCCCAAAAGAAGAGAATGTTTTTCTTTTGTGGCAACTTATGTGTGTAATGGCTACCCTTTTATGACAACTTATACATTGTAGGCGAAACAACTAATATGCAGGATTTATGAAGGCATTCCTCGTAAAAGGATGACTAAAAATTAAAACTAAAAAATATTAAAAAAACTTGACTCAAAACTAAAACTAAAAAAACTTGACTGAAAAATAAAAATGAAAAATAAATGAAATTGAAAAAGAAAAAAAAAACTAAAGTAGGAAAAATGGAAAAAAACTCCAAAATATAATAGAAACTAAAACTACAAGAAAATTAAACTAAAATTGATAAGAAAAAACAAAACTGAAATTGAAAAAATAAAAAATAAAAACGAAAGAAGACAAAATGAAAAACACTATAAAATAGCAATGAAAGTAAAATTGCCAGGTAAAATACTAAAAATGACAAAAAAAATTAAATTGACGAGTAGAAGATGAAAATTAAAGTGGACACAATGAAAAAAAATCCAAAGAAAACTAAAACTGAAAGTACAATAAACTGGAATTGAAAGTGACAACAAATAATAAAATTGAAATTGACAAATAAGTTGCTACACGCTTAATACAAAAGTTGCTACAAGTTTGCTAGTATATATAATTTGCTGGAAGGTTAATATATAGGTTGCTACACGCTTAATACATAAATAGGTATTACATATATAACATAAGTTGCCATTACATATAAACTATTTTGTAAGATATGCATCATAGTCAATAGATCTCATCACAAGTGGCTCAATAGTACAAACGGTTTTTGAAAACGTGTACGAAAGTAGCCGTATTTTAAAGAGAAAAGTAAAAAAGAGATAGTACTAGTTTATTTAGTACAAAAGATAACAAGCTTCATGGGCTAAGCTGACTGCTCTGTTCATTTTGGTAGATGCTAACAGCCACATGGGCCGCACCTCACCCACGCCCCACCACGACGCCTGACGGGCTAGGGAGGGGGCCGCGCGCTGCCTTACGAGCGAGACCTGGCGCGACTTAAGACTTTGCGTTTAATTTGACAAATGTATCTAGAATTGAAACGGAGGAGTATAATACTGATTACTGACTTCGAGGATTGACAACCAGCTGGCAGTACATCAGTTATGGCACCACTACTGATTTTTCAAGGTCAACTGCAGTCTGGAGGTCTGCAGCGCAAGATCCATCTCTCCAACAGCAGCAAGAAAGGTACAGGCAGTGGGAGAAGGAAGAGGGCATGGAGGAGGAGGTCCATGGCATCGTCATCGTCGGTGGCGGCATCTGTGGCCTTGCCACTGCTCTCGCTCTGCACCGGTGAGAGCGCACCCGCTAACAACTTAATTGTGCAGCAATTTTTTTTTTTTTTTTGAGGAATCGTGCAGCAAATTTTTGCATCACATCTTCAGCTGAATCTGCTGTTACTGCTAGACAAATCTTCTCAGTATTTTAAACTGCATCCGCATAAAATCTTGGGTTATTAGATCAAATTGTTCATGTGCATCTGAGAAGTCGGACTCAAAAACATTACACAGGGGACAGAACTGAAAATGACTTTCACATCCGCAGCTCTCCCTTTTTCATAATACTATTTGTGTTTGACGACTCCAAGCATTCAATTTGAGGAACTCCTGTAATCAATCCGCTGTTGACCTGCAAGCAGAAAAGGGATAAGTAGCCTTGTGCTGGAGAAGTCGGAGACTCTGCGCACAGATGGAGTGGCCATTGGTGTTCATGCCAATGGATGGCGAGCTCTGGACCAACTTGGTCTTGCTACAGAGCTCAGGGAGACCGCCAACATAATTACCGGGTAAAAATTTCCAGCCTTTTTTCATATGTCGATTTGCATCGTTTTGCTTTTCATTCACTTATTAACTATTTGCAATTTCTTTTATCAAAAAATACTACTGTGAATTTTTCAACTGTCTCTCTTGTAACTTCCAATGTCCATGATCAGTAGAAAGAAATTCATACCATGATTAGGCCAACTGCTGAATAAAGAAAGTTAGCTCCAAAAACATTTGATGAAAAGGTTTTCTTTGAGATTAAGATTTCAGAAACATTCATATTAATTTGTTAGACGCTGAAACTTCAGGTACCACAATGTGTGGCAGCAGCAGAGCAAGAGCACCATCATACCTGCCAGGTTAGTACGTAGGAGCACTAATAAATGTACTGTTCAATGCTCCTGAATAATCCAATGTTATTACTAACTATATATAAGAAACTCAAATATTGTACTAATTTCGTATTAGCGTTCAGAGGCAGAGATGTTTGAGTAATGTTGCCTCCATCATTTGCTAGGAAAGAGCTCCGATGCTTAAAAAGAAAAGATCTGGTTCAGGCATTGGCGAGGAGCTTACCAGCAGGAACCATCCGCTTCAGCTGTCACATTGCAGCAATTGTGGCAGACCCTGATCCTGATGGCAGCAACCGCACCCTTCTTAGGAGTTAGGACAATGGACGGCAGCACCATCAAGGCCAATGTACGTACGCAAACGCAACTGTCCCAGGTTCCCAGCTCTGCAACGCTGCGTTTGATCCACACGTACTGCAGGTCCTGATTGGCTGTGATGGGGCCAACTCGGTGGTAGCCAAGTACTTGGGATTGGGCAGTCCGTCGCATCTTCCTCTCCTGATCATGCTCGGATTGACGAGCTACCCGCACGGGCATCCGTTCGGAACCCAGTTTCTGCGCTTCGCGGGCAACGGTTTCGCCGTTGGGCGCTTGCCTGTCACTGAAAATCTGGTCCATTTCTTCGTCAGTAGGCCAAGCCCTGCCACAGGTATCGCCCTACTCATCATTTACACATATTGTTCAGAGAGTCAGAGAAGAGAGCTGTGACGATCTGATGTGCAGGCTTCACCGACGAGAGTGCCGCGAGAGAGTACGTGCTCGAGAAGCTCCAGGACTGCCCTGACGAGATCGCGGACATGGTGCGGCGGTGCGACGCAGCGGAGACGAAAACCCTGACCAAAGTGTGGTACCGTTCGCCATGGCAGGTGTTGCTCGGCCGGTTCCAGAGAGGCACGGTGACGGTCGCGGGCGACGCAATGCACGTCATGGGGCCGTACATCGGCCAGGGCGGCTCGGCCTCGCTGGAGGACACCGTCGTGCTTGCCCGGACGCTGTCGCGGTCGGTGCCGGACGGTGTCGTCGTCGTCGATGGAAACGGGAGCACGAGGAGCCGTGAACTGCAAGACAAGAAGATCAGCGTGGCGTTGGGGGAATACGTCAGGGAGAGGAGGGCAAGGTTGTTCATGCTGTCTCTTGAGTCTTACGTCATCGGAACCTTGCGGATCGCCAAGTCACTCCTGAAGAAGCTTGCCTGCGTGGCCATGCTGACTCTTCTGGGCAGCGAGTCACGTCGCCACGCCAACTACAACTGTGGTCCCCTCTAGTAATACTCGTCAGATGGCGCATATGGTTGCATCCAAGAATATTTTTTTGATTATGTATCATATTTAATATCCAACCATTCAACATCAAATGTTGTACAATAACAGGTGGTTGAATATAAAATATGATACATACTGCATTCCAAATAGATCTTGCAATAACACAATCAAAAAACAGATGTTGAATGGTTCCGCACTTAGTGCACGCAGTCCCTTTGAACAAAGTTATATGTGTCAAAGTGACACCTCTCTTTAAATTCCAAAGAATTTTTTTTTTATTTTTAAAGGTAGCTTTGTCTTCCCCTATCTAAACTTCCCAGGCAACCTATCTCTTTGTAAAATATCTTTGTAAAAGTATTGTACAGAGAAGAAGCCTTTCCTATTTAAATTCCACACAAAATCAGCCTCATCCTCATTTAGAGCAACCGCACAATTAAGGACACCAAATTCAACCAATTCACTAGTTTCTCACCAATTAAAGTCCGTCTAAATGACACATTTAAAGATAGTTTACTTATTACCTGATGAGAAACAATGGCATTCTTTTTTCTAACAATCTTATAAAAGAACATGGTATTTTTTGCATCAAAGGTTCACTACCTGCCCAATGATCTTCCCAAAATCTGGTTTGGTTACCATTATTAACATCCATAAGTCCTTACCCAAAACTGAGAGTCCCCTAGTTTGTTTCACTACTTGTGATAAAGTCTTATTCTTAAATATTTCCTCTTAAGAAATTCTGAGATCTTCCTCATTCAAAAGCTTGAAAATCCATTTACTTAGAAGACTTTGATTATGAATTTCCAACTTTAGGATATCTGTACATTTTGGCATACATAAAATGCTCCATCTAGCCAATCAATATTTTTTTCTTATGCTCATCGCATTGCCAAAAAAATGTACATCTATAGTAATCCAATTCTTAATGATTTCTTTAAGAATTGCAAAAAAAAAGGATATCGTTAAACACTGGAAGAATTCGATAACACCGAGTTGGTCAAAGTAAGTCTCCTAGTTGACAATAACTTACCTTTCCACCTACTAAGTATTATTTCTAAAATCTTTCTTCAGTTAGAGCCCAATCCTTATTCATAATCCTATGATAATGCATTGGTATCCCTAAATATCTGAAATGGAAAGTCCCTTCCTTGCAACCAAGTAACTCTATTTAATCCATTCTCAAATCCTTTGCAGCCTTGAAACAAAAAAAGTTCACCCTTATAGAAACTGGTTTTCAAGCGAGATAACTTTTCAAAAGTACATAGTACTAATTTTAAGTTTTTAGCGCCCTTTAAGTCATTTTTCTATAAAGAGTATAGTGTCATCTACATATTGCACTATCAAAATACCATCCTCTACCAAATCAGGTACTAAACCCCAAAATAGCCCATTTGCTTTTGCTCTTGAAATAAAGGTCGCCGATATATCAACAACTAGGTTGAAGAGAATTGGCAAGAGAGGATCCCGTTGTCTTAATCCCTTTCTAGTATGAAAATAAGGATCTATTTCACCATTTACTTTAGCCCCCACACTCCTTCACTAACAACCGTCTCCACATCCACTTACACCAAGTGGGAGAAAACCTTTCATCCTCAAAGCTTGTTGCAAGAAAGGCTAGTAAACCTTGTCATAAGCCTTCTCAAAATCTAGTTTGGAAATAACCATCATTCTACTTTTTATATATTTCGTGAGCCGGATCTAGTTGAGGCAGAGAAGCATCTGACGGCCGGCGTCGAGGCAGCCCCTAGTTGTTCCTGCGTGTCTCCATCTGTCTTTTTTAGCTCGATGGATCCGATTTTTTTGTGCTCGATCGATCTAGTTTTCGGAGCTGGACTTGGTTTTGGGGGAAATCTAACGAACAAGCAGGAGGAGAGAGATCGATGTCATGTCATATGTAATGATTCCATAGGGCTATTTTGGTCTTTCATGCGTTGTTGTGGGATGTTGTACCTATATAACCTATAAATTTAATGGAAAACATTTCAAGAAAGTGAAAGGAAGGTAACATAAGTGGCGACCTATGAATTCACTGAAGAAGATTAAATATGTATGTATATTATGTATTGTTACCTATAGGTTACACCAAAATGATGTGAAGGTGGCGTACTGTGAGTAATCATTCATTCAATAACATAATAAAAATTAAGTAGGCTAGTATGAAAAAGGTTATTACATATACCATGATAGCAATTATAGGAAGCAGAAATAGATAGCCGAGCCTTTCAGAAACCGTTCCATAGAAAAGATCGAAGGCAAAACCGGTCCAAAATGCTTCTGGTTTGCACAATGCTAATTGGAAATGAATAACAAAATGCACAATTAATAGTGAGACGCAGTGGCATATATCTTTATCATCATCTTGATAGATTCAAAAATATATAGTCGTCACGAATACAGGTGACAACAGAGGAATGGATATAAAGCTGTAGGAGGCATGTAGGATAAGATAAAACCGGTGGTGATTTTATTGACTTATGCTTGTCATGGTCAGTTCCGTACACAGCCCTGCGCATGGAGCTTTAGGAACCAGAATGACACGCCCTCGTCGTCCTCCATCTGCAGCGTGTCGTCTGCGCCGTGTGCGTCCGCAGCGTGCGCACCAGCTCGTCGTACTTGGCGTCCACGGGCCGGGGCGGGACGTCCGTCACCAGCGGGGCCACGCTGCCCACGCGGAAGATGTAGCTGGTCACGCTTGTTCTTGCTGAAGTACCAATTCAGGCTCGTATTCGTGCCGAAGAGGTAGCACGTGCACGTGTCGTGGGGCATGTCATTTTGATTCTTAAACTTGGTTAGGGTCTCATATATTCGTTCAAACGAATATGGATTTGTACCTGCCTCCATACCCCATTTAGATGAATATGAGAAAAAAAAACAGAGTTTAAGGACCGAAATGACACGCTTTCTGAATTTTGGGGCCGGAATGACACGACCGTCAACTGTACTCTTAATTTTTTTTAATCTTCGCTTATATTTGGTAATATACTAATAAATGAATTAAGCATTGAACCGTGTTAGCTAGAAAACCTAGCTAATAATTAATTGTTAGCTAGGTGATAAGTAAGACATTAGTAAATAGAATTCCAGATAATGTTGTAGCAGCTTTGTATGGATTCAAACTGACCTATGCATGCTACAACCCAGCTGGCCAGCCCAAGGGGAGCCCAATCCGTCGATCAGGATCTCCTAGGCAACTGGGCAGTTTGGCCCGAACGCCACCTCCAAAACCCTAATCTCCCTCCCACCTGCACAAGGGGGATTTACATTTTTACCATTATTAAGATTGGCGCTCATCCGATTATCACTCTTAGGATGGCACTTACAACTTTGACAGATGAGAGAAGTTTGAGTTCTTCATTTACCGCATTTACGCATGTGGCAAGCCACGCCAGCCCGACACGCTGTCGCCCAGTCAGCAGGCGCAGGTAAAATGTCATCGCTGCCCCTGCCCATTTTCTTCATTACGCCGCCCCGGTCCTGCCCTCGCTATCCCCTCGCTCATTTCGTCCCCCCCCCCTCGCCGCCGCCGACGCCTCCTGCTCCCCTCCCGCCGTCCCTACGCCACGGTGACCATGTCGCAGAGGGCGGAGTCGTCTAGCGCCAGTAGGGCATTGAGGAGGCAGGAACGAGGCGGGAGCTCCATGCGCGCGCATGTTGTGGCGTATACGGTCGGTAAAGAAACTGGGCTTCCATTGATTCAATGTCCGGATTGCCATCTGGCCCGTGTGATCGAGCTTCGCGTCAAGCAGGACACTCCCAACAAGGGCCGGAGCTTTTTCAAGTGCCCCAGGAATGGGGTCAGTTTTGCTGTGTCTCCATCTCTCTTGCTTTCCTTGTTTGAAATCTAGAGTTTAACAGTCATGAAATGGTGTTTGCAGAATCTGAAATTATGTGGATTCTACAGATTCTAGAAGGAGTACCTGGATGAGCTGATTGATAAGAAGATCATCATTATCAACTGTGAGGAGGTCGAGGAACTGGAAGAAGGATCAGAGGGCAGTGAATATGAACCATGAGGAGAAGAAAGACCTGGAGAAGAAGATGGAGAACATGATGTGGAAAATGAATTGTTTCATTGTTGTTGTTGCAATTATTATGTTTGGAATTATTGTCAGATCAGTTGTAATGACTTGATTTGTAGCAATGTGTTTGAAAATAAATTGAACATGATGTATGAACCATTTGCAATGAAACTTTGAACTGTGTTGCCCTATTTTCATCAGAAAGTGCTTAATCAAAACATTTGACAGTGAAGGCACATTCTGGCCATGCAAAATGAAATAGAGGCAAATAACAATGACAGATAGGGTACATTAAGGTTGCAACTCCTGGCCATTACACAGGTAGCAAATTCTAGGCATACAGATAGAGTTTAGCGCCCATTACACATAACAAGTTCAACTTGGGGCATTACATGCTGTTTTTGTGCCCATCATTACATAATAAGGCCATGCAAAATAATACATTGTTTTGGCCATCTCATTACATAATAAGGTAGTGAATATTGTTTTTGCAAAATAATGAAAGTTTATGATCTTGGCAAAACAAGACCAGGCTCCTGTCTTTCTCTTTCCTCCTCTTGTCTTGTGCGGTGTCTTCTTCACCTTAGTTGCCAATTGCTTTTTCCTAGGAGTCATCCTCCTGGCTGGCTACACTTCAACCTTCAGTGCATCTTCAGCAAATAAGGACCTGTGGAAAATAAAGTTTGATTAATGATTGATTTATTATATAGGTAATCCATTACCATGCTGTTAGTGGAAGAAGAGCAGTACCTCCTAACTGTTGTGGTTTGAATAGCTGTCTCTGGGAGCTGAACTTCTAAAGCCATCACCTCCATCACTTGTTCATGTGCTTGAGTTGCCGAAAATTCATTTCTTGCAGCATCTACTTCTTCCCTTGCTGCTGCTTGGGCTGCTTCCCTTGCTGCTGCTGCCTTCAGCTCTACTTCTAGAGACTCCCTCTTAGCCTTTGCTGCTGCCTCCCTTGCAATAGCTGCTCTGGTCCTT